TTACTTATAGCTAGAAATTTTAAGAATGATACTGCAATTAGTTTATGAAATAGCCTTTGAAATAACATTTTAAGAGTGTAAACTGGACCAATTTACTTTTTTTTTTTTAAAAAAAAGATCCAGTCATTTTTGAAAGTTTAGTTTTAGAGGAAAAATACAGGATGTGCCAGATAGAAGCTGGTTTGTTTTTTTAAATGATTTCCACAAAAGGGATAAAGAAGTTTAAGTTAAAAAAAAAACCCTAAACATAAAATTACCTTAGCAGTGACCTGTGGTGGGGAAACATGGATTTGGGGCATTCTCTGCTTCTTTAACGTGTATAAAAAGCCTGAAAAGCTTACTGTTCTCCCCCTACGGTCTCTAAATTTGTGTTATCTTTCCTCCTGTTTAACAAGACTCTCCCTCATTTGCCTGAATATTCTTTGGTAGATCACTGAACCAGAGCTAGAGCTCTCTCAGCCCGAATAAGGGAAAATGCCAAATTTTACAAACTCATGAAGATGCAAAATGAAGTTTAACACCGATTAAAAAGTCCTTTCCCACACTTCAGCTGGTCAAGTTTATCTCTCCTGATACCAGTGATGCCATACATGCACTGTTTTCCAAGCATCTTGTCTGCCAGAAGAGATACTGTAGGTGATACCTGAATTCCTAATCTTAAAAAAGCAGATGGAAACAAAAACCTTGCGGACTTTCTTTATACACAGGGAAGTGGAGAAAAACGGTATGATTTGTCCCAAACTGTCAGCCTTTTAACAAACAGTAAACAGCTAACAGCATAAAAATCACCATGGCTAAGTACAGACATTCAAAAAACCAGAGGCGGAATCAATCTTAGTTGCAGAAAACCAAGATTGTAAGTGGCAGAAACACACATTTGTCCTTTGGCAGTGGAGCAGGAGCAAAAATCTTTCCACCATTTTTAAAGTCAGCCTGCGTACACCCAACTTCTGTTCTGTTATGGGTAGAGAGAATGGTTGCGTGCACTGAACTGGTTTCTGAACACTTACACTGGTAAAGTGTAATGTTTATACCTGGCTTAAGTTATATTAAAGAAAAGCAACAAATTTAAAATGGAAGGAAAGTTAATCAAGTGGCAAGAACTGGGATATTGGCATTAGAGATATTTATGACCCAGGTTCAAAGAGCTTATAAACCAGCTAATTTAAAACAAAATAGGGAGACTGCTCTCATGCACAGGAAATTTTAGGTTTTTAACTGATGGCAACCCACTTTGTGCACGAGAGCATCTTCGTCAACAAACTAATGTCACAATACAAAGAAATTTTGGCTTTTATATAAAATGTCCCAATACAGTTTCTAGCTGGACATATATACAGAAATCTATTAACACTTGACAGACATACACAGAGTCACCGTTAAGGGGGCAGGAAAAGCCCTTTAAAAACCTTTCAGAACCGAGTTAGCTCTTCACTTACAGAGAGTCAGCTGTAAAGTTTGAAGCAGGGGTATATCAGGGTGAAAATAAAATACACCTGTCCCATTTTTACTCTTATTTTAAAGGGGTCATATTCCAGGGTATTGCTTAACACTGAAAAAGAGGAATTTTTCAACATAATTTTTGGTACTTCAGTTTTGGGTGTCCAATTCAAGATACCTTGAAGGGACCCAATTCATTAAAAGTATGCAGCATCTACCCTATGGTAAAAAACAAGCCCTTTCAGTGGGTCTCAAGGTGAACACCTCAAATCTTCAAACACTTGACATTTTAGGCCAGGTCTACAAAAAGAAAAAGGAAGCAGGTACCAGAAAATAAGGGTAACATGCTAACTAAACCTTGGAAGAAAACTGCGCTGGTTCAGAAGGAATTATTCAGTGCCATCCTGACTGGTGGAGGCGAGAAGCATTGGGGAGGAGGACTTGAGAAGTCACACCTCAAAAGAGCTAATCTAGCATCCAAGAAAAGACGAGCAATAAACACTTATTAAAAGCAAGGACATGGGCAAGTGTTGTGAAAGCTGTAAACTGTATAAACTTTGTCAGTGCAGTGCCATTCTAGTTCTAGAGAAGAAAGTCTTGAACCTTCTGTGTACTTCATTTTCAAGGACCAAAACAGGAACTGAGGAGAACAAACAATTTTAAGCCACCTATTGTCTTAACTAAGTTTTGAATTAGGGCTTTCCACAAGAAAGACTTTACTAAACCACAAAAATTCTTTAGACTTTATACAGATTAGGATTTATATAACATGCCATTGTGAGTCCTCAACGAAAGACCACTCGTTAGACTCATGGAACATTGTGGAAAATGCCAGCTCTTCATTTTTATACTTTTCTGACTACAGAAAAATAATAAGAGCAATTCTTTTGCTGCAAAGAACTGAACAGGTCAGAGTGTTTTTTAGCACTACGATTCCTATTTGAAGTTTCTGTGACTTATCTTGTAAATCATACTTAACAGTACCAAATTTGCACGGGAACTCATGGAACCCTTGAAAGGATCTCAGGGCACGCAGGATGCTGCAGCCCAATGCTGCTGGCCTCGCTCCTCACTCCATTGCCACTGTCATGGCAGCGTGCTGCCGCCACCTTCTGTCCAAACTGTTCTTGGAGCACTCTGGTTGGTTGTTTCAGACAACCAATCAGAGTATAAATAAAGTGTTATGGACAGACAGACAGAATAAGGCCTTTATATATACAGAATTTTTAATATTATATCTATGGGAGTTAAAATATCAAACTAGAATTCCTGGATTAATGTTTCTTCAGTACTAGTAATCCTTCTCTCATTTTTAAGACACCAAATAGTGCCAATATTCAATCATGACAACAGCTGAAGATTAGGGAAAAGATACTACACCTAGCCACAGATTATATGGCAACAAAATCTGCCGCCTTTGAGTACAAACTAACAACATTTGTCAGTCATGGATAGTGGTAAGAACCTAACCCAGTATCTTTAAAAGTAACTGATTTTCATTTAGACACCAAAAATGCATTAGATCTTATCTATTTGGACTGGAGTAAAGCATCTGTGATAGTGGTGTGAGAAAGTATTAATTGTTAAGAGCTGACTGTGAGGTAAGGAAATAGCTCAAGAAGAAATGGCAACATGCTTCACTCAAAAGGGAGTTATCGCACAGGAAACAGGTTATACTAAAGGGGGTTATATTAATAAGGATCTATCTTAGGACTCATGAAGTATTTTCATTACTGACTGTAATATAAAAAGAGCATGCTGGCGAAGCTTGCTAAAAACACAAAGTTAGGAGGCAATTTCAATATACTGAAGATGAGATTATCATAAAGTAAACCCTGGATAACCTTGAGGCCTGGATTAATAGAAATGGCATTTGATAGTACAAAAAACCAAGTCACACAGCTTGGCAGAAGTTTTTGTTACCATACTTTGCCAAAAAAAAAAAAAAAAAAAAAA